TTTAAGCGCATCACAACCGCTTCCATGATCTGTCTACTGCTGTGTCCAGATCACTAACAGGGCCATCTATGATTGCATCCTGATGTAAGTCAGTATCCCTTTCTCATCATGCTTACTTCTGAAACTAGGCTGGAAATTAAAATCATGTAAGTTATTTAATAATGCACACAGTTCAGCCTGTGTGGCACAAATTGATAATTTATGACAACAGTTTAGTTGTATATTGTTCAGAATATTGGCAGCATTTATGAACTCTTAGCTCACTACACAGTCTAATAAAGGCTTTGAAAACCCATACTTATAGATAAATAGTACAAGCATTGTACTGTACTTCTTAGGCACATACTGTAAGGAACTTTGAAAAAGGGGACAGTACACCATTTATGAACATTTTACATTGTTACTCGCACCAGAGCTGCCCATTATGTGAAATATTCACATACACTGACAAAATGCAGCTATTGCAGGAAGCCTAGTTGTTAGATTTTCTTTTTTTTTCAAATTTTCCATTTTCGAATACCTTGACATTGGTCCAAATCAGATAGATATAGATAAAGAATGTATTTATTTTGAGAAATTTACTCTCTGAGATTTCTTGGCCGTAGATATGCCTTTAGCATCAGCTATAAACAACATTAACCCCTGGGAGGGGCAATGAAAAGAGGTTTTAGGTAATGATCTGAGTTTCACCATATGTCATAGTGACATCTGGACTAAGGCCCATGAGTATAAAACATTGCATCACTGCAGCTCCAACAAGACACTCTTTACTGAGCTTGTAAACGAGTTAGCACTACTGCCTCACAGACCCAGGGACCCATGTTTGATTCAACCCTCAGGCGACTATCTGTGTGGAGTTTACACATTCTCCCTGTGTCTGCATGGGTTTCCTCCAGGTGCTCCAGTTTCCTCCCACAGTCCCAAGATGTGCAGGTTAGGTGGATTGGCCATGCTAAATTGCCCATAGTGTACTGGGATGAGCAGGCTAGGTGGATTAGCTATAGGAAATTCAGGGTTACAGGCATGGGGTGGGTCTGGGTGAATTACTGTCGGGAGGGTTGGTATGGATTTGATGAGCCGAATGGCCTGCTTCCACACTGTAGGGATTCTATGATTCTAAGCAAAGGAAACCGTTTACTCAGAAATTACAAAATAGACTGCTTATACTCTGCTCCCTCTTTCCCTAAAATTCTGTTGACAGTCCCACAGTTTCACCGGGCATTTTTGTTTTTAAAAATCATTAATCAACTATTCTCAAAACTACTGGAGAGTCTCATTCCAGCCTTAATCCAAGAAGTACTTCATGAGAGCCAGACTCTGCTCAATAATAGAACTCTCACATTTGAGCCAGAAAGTTGTGGGTTCATGTCCTGGAGAGTACAGAATCTAGGCAGGCACTGCAGCTCATTAGCAAGAGAATGCTGCACTATTGTGGAGATATTGTTCTTTGACAACCATAATTAAACATCGTCCACGAGGGACTGTAGGCTCTTCTTTATTCACTACAATTCTGCACACCACTGTAATTCCTCCCACCGTTCTTCACTCCGGTCAGCTGATTCTAAAGACTTTGCCATAGCCACATTTCATTACCTACAATCCACTTCTCATCAGCCTCATTCAAGGTCCAGCTCTCTCGCCCATTCAGTGTAATGATCCACACCAGGATTTTACAAGTTGCTTTTTCAAGTCCAACGTGCCCTTTGAACAAGTTGTTAGACTTAGCTACTTGATGGAATATGACAGATTCTGTAGCACTATTTTCAGCAAGAGCAGAGGCCTTCAGTTTGTTGCTTTGCCACTAGTTATCCCCAACAATCATTCCTAAAACAGATTCGCTGGTACTTATTTTGTTGCTATTGGTTGGGTCTTTCTCTACACAAATTGGCTGCCACATTTCCGACATTGAACAGTAGCTTGAAATTGGCTATAAAGTGCTTTTGGACATCAGGGAAGTGTAAAAGGCACTATATAGGTACAGTTTCTTTGATTTTTTTTTCTTTATCTATGGTTTTCATCAGAAGTTGCAGTTTTCTTCTTCTGTTCTTGCTGCTGCTGTTGCCATTACTTTAACGCTAAAATTTCAGGTAAGTGATAAGTTCAAGGCACTGGTTCAAAGCAACTTTTCAGTGTTATTTTAGCAATTTAAGTGTTTGCTTTGTGCTTTTTGCCAATTCAGGACAGCTGTTTCTATTCGCATACTCACATTCACCTACACTAACAACCTATTAAAGACAACCAGTTGAACTCATAGCATGGCTCATTTACCCTTTTTACTACATGTATTTGTACACTGGGATCTGTTGTCTGTGAGCAAAAGGATTATGTTCAAGTTTTTTAGATAACAAGGTGTAGAGCTGGATGAACACAGCAGG